TATATATATATACAATATTTTTGTAATATATTTGATAAATCTCAAAATATGTATATTTAAATATTGAAAAGATATATGACATTTCGATTTTATGAATTTCTAAAAAATTGATATTATTGAATGCATCAATTATTAATATTTAATGCAAAACTTACGTCTCAACTCTCGAATAAATTTTTTACACTCTTGTTCCATTCCTTCAACATCTATTTTTTTCCAAAATGTTGTCTTCCATTCGTCTAGATTCGACGTAATAATATTAACATAATCCCAAAGATTCTTCAGAAGCTTTAAGTCTCTTCTAGCAAACTTGATTTGTTTAAATTCTGCCATCTGTTGTTCAAATATATTCGTTTGATCATGTAATGTTTTTAATTCCTCTTCGAATCGTAGAATTTCTTCATTTATCTTGTCCAATTTCTCATACACATTCGTACAGTCGAAACTATTGATTGTTTGTAATTGATTATTGAAACATAAATTGTATTCAAATAGTTAAGTAATTGAAAATCTGTGTAGGTAAACTTAAACATGTTCTTAAAGAAGACATAGCTCTTCGTATATCATTTTTAATGACTTTATTTTTTTTTATTCAAATAAATGTTGCGATTGCTTTACTTGAACACGATGTTCTCGCGAAAACGCGCTAGACACTGCTGTTGTCTAAAATCATAATAATTGAGACGTTTCTTCAATAAGTCAATTTGATATGCCATCAAAGGATTCACAAGCTGTTTCACTTGCGCTGCCCATTTTTTGACCGTTGCCCATTGCTCCGGTAATTCTGTCAACCAGTTATAAGTTTCTTCACTGAATTTCACTTGGTATTGTTTAAGAAGATCTATAGTCGCCTGTAATCGAATAAACTAATTGTTACTAGATGTTTCATTTTATATAAATTGTTACGAGTAAGATGGTCATTAAAAATTAAACAGAATTACACTACTTTCTATTATTTATATTTTCTATTTTTATTACCTTGATAGGTTCCCACATATCGTCAATTTGGTATTGTCGATCTCGTACCTCCTTTAAATAATATATAGTGTTCAACAAGTCCTCATAATCATCTGGTGCGATTGGCTGAGTAAATTTCTTTAAAGCTTTTGTCAAGAATTCGCTAAGATTTCTGAGTCTGTAACATACAGTGTAATGAAAATTGAATATATTAATATATATGCAATATTAATTAATTGATAAGATTTAAAAAGAAATATAAGGCACCTATGATTACATAGATATGTACATTATAATGAATACGTACTCGTTGTTGACGTGATCAGTCAGATGTGTCTTGAATAAATTAGTCCACTTGCAGATTGTGTTCAGTAAAGCTTGTTTGAAGGCTCTTAGATCTAGCTGCAGCCAACGTAAGAAAACTTTTTCATTCTCAAACTCGTCGCATTTTTTATAAAGTTCCATAAAGTAGTCAATTTCTCTTTTGAAATCAGCCAATCCTGGCTTTTTCTCTTTTAAATATTCCGATAAATTCTCTTGCATTACTATATTTTTTTCTTCGTCCGTGAGTGCGCGACCAAAACGTAAAAACAAGTTTAAATATTGTTGTCTATCGTCAAGCCATAACCAGGAAAATGGTTCAAAAATCTGCAATACAAGAAATATTGGTTTTTTTTTTCGTGGAGCAAAATAAAATAAATAAGTCATGAATTATGTAGATATCAGTTATTTCTCTTAAATAAATGAAGTTTATATTGTTAAAAAAGTGATTGCTCTCTTATTCTGAAGTTTGCTATCAGAATCCTTATTTTTCTATGATTATTATTTTTCTTGATTTGGAAAAGTGAAAGTTCTATTGCATCACATTCACGTTATTAAGTTATTGCTTTCATAGATATATGAAAAAAAACAAACAAAATATATTTATACATGATTAAGATTAAAAATAAGAAGACCATATAATTGCTTGAAAATCTTACAATGATATATTCCTGTGCTTGCACCAAACCTAACTTGATTCGATTACACGTTTCTTCGAGCATGAAAACGATATTTTCTTCTTCTGCTAAATCAGTCTTAAAATATTATATAGCGATTAATAATGGAAGAATTATAATATCATATGTGTGTGCGTATGTACGTACATATGTGTGAACAATTATGAAAAAAAGATAAAACTTTAAATACTGGAATCCATAAATTAGCTGAAGAATTAGCTGCTTTTGTTATATATATTCTCATTCTTACAGCGCAGTTCACTAATTCCTTCTTAAATTTTTCACTAAACAAAATCTTTCACTAAATTCCTTTTTAATTAATCGTTTTGACACAAACAATTAAGAAAAGATTATTTTACTTTTAACAAAGTATGATGTATATACAATAAATGCGCCTATTATTGATCACCCTATATACAACGACGTACTCCATAATGCTCCCGTTCCGTTGCAATGTTAGGATCTACGCGTGGTATCAAAGTTCCCATTCTCATAATGTCAAGCAGCAAACCCTCGTAAAATGTATAGAAACTCTCAGGATCATCCAGATCTACCCCAGGACGAAAGACAATATGGGGTATCTCGAGCGACAGGTGAATCTCGAAAAGAGGTGATACGTTACTTTCCGGATCGGTTTCATCGAGCAGATAGCATATGCTACGGTGCAGATACCGCGTGAAAAACAATTTCATTATTAATTAGTAATATTTAGGAAGATTTTTAAGAGCATGCTAATCTTTAACTTTTAGTCTTTATACGTTACTTTAATCGATTAGCAGAAAATAATATGAACTTTAATAATGTTTGATGAAACTCAATACCTAGTAGAAGCAGCTTGGATTAAGGCTTTCGATATCAAATTGTCGACGTAAACGAGATAAGGCTTCCATTTGGGCATATTCTGAGCGATTTCCTCGTTTGTTAGTGTTATTTCAGCTACTGCTTTCATTCGTTCCTCTTTGCCGACTTTTTGTTCCACAGCATCGCGCACAATTATTCTTTCTTTCTCTTCATCCATTCTGATTATAATGATAAAAGCGTATTTTACAATAAATTAAAAAAAAAACTCTAATTTGATGCATACCTCAATCCGCTCGGTAAAGTCCGCAATTCCTCTACATCTGTTCTTTCTTCGAATTCTCCAAATTCTTCAAGTTCTTCAAATTCTTGTTTTTTCGCATCTATTTGCATGTCTGTGACTAATATATTATAATTTGATATTTCGATCAAATTAATTTAAAATCTAAAAAGTTGTCTTATAAATTCGTTATGTAAAAAAAATTAAAAGAAGCCTTTGAAGAAAAGAAGTGAATAAAAGTTACTCAATTCAATTTCATCTTTCTCGTACGCTGAATCGGGCAGTAAATTGAAGAAAAGTTTATAATTTTCATCCAAGATTCGATTTAGTTCTGTACTGGCTTGCTTGATCTGGTCATATCTCTTTTGGAAATTCTCGTTACGTTCACCCACAGCGAGCAAATTCTCATCTTTAAAATCCTTGCGCTCTAATATCGGCGACATCGCCCATGTGTAAATCATTCGCAACAACATGTTGATGTTTTCTTGAGCATAAAAGATCCGCAAATGTAACTTTCGTATTAGATCCAGCAAATTACTTATGTACTCTGGCACTTCTGTGAAACAAATCCTCGATGACATTTTATGTTGTTACTGTGAAAATTGTTATAGAGTTGATTTTATTTGTCTAATCATTTGATTCTCTCCTCCTTTGTCTTGCTTTATAGATTATCTTTTTGATGAAGCAAGACAAAAAATTATTTGAAGATGTTACAACCATGATTCCAAGTTATAAAGATTTAAAAAATTTATTTAGGTGTGTTGTTACTTTTAGTTTATTATTTGTATGAATAACATCTAAATGTTTGTATACATAATATATAAATTGTCACGATTAAAAATTTCACCTGGGGAATTCCAATTATAATTTTTCTGGCCAGTGTCAATTAATTTGTCCACGTTTTCAATTTCGTGCTCCAATAATTCAAACTCCACAGGCAAACTGTAATTTCTTATCCAATTGTACCTATCATTTGAACAATGTATATAAATAGAATTATTTCTCATCAGTTAATAATATGTTTACTTACCATTGTATGAGTAAATTGAGATTGTAGGTACTCTCAAAAAAATATTGCGATCTATAATATAATTGGATCGCTTCCTCGGGTAAATCTGTCCTCTTCATAGTGATCATATAGCGAATTTCTCGCAGTAGAGCAGTTAGTTCCGGATCAAAGTTTAAATCGAGTAGCTTATTCTCGTGTACTATTAATAAGCTTTTCGATAAATGAAAGTCGCTTGTATCGACTATCTTGTTGGCCCAATTCGTGAATATTTTGTGCTCCATCGCGTCCATGAGTGACTTATGAAAATACGATATATTATTATACTTTTATTATCGAGTCGATTTGAGTATTGAGTCGAATACATTTGATAGATAGATTAGATAGATTAGATTTATTTTACAATCAGATGATTACTTTTTGTACAGACGCGTTATATCATAAATAAGTAGCTAACAATAATCATAAGCAGAGTGACAAGCGATATTTGATGTCTTATATTTTATAAAAATTTAATTAAATATTACGATAACTATTATGATACATTATATAAAGTGAATATAAGCAAATAAAGACATTGAAAAATCCGATATTCATAATAGATTCTTACATTTACTATCTAAGAACATACCTAGTCTAGGTCAAATGATGATTAAGTTCACCGTTTTTTTTTTCTAGGATTTTGTGAGATATTACCTGCATTTGATCGTATTTTGGTTTAGTTTCACGTGCTTTTCTAAGATTTATCAAAGGATGATCGATTAATTTCATACATTGCATCGGATAGTCTATTCGTTGTCGCAACTGCGTCAATATACATAATGCACCAGCGACATGCGGGAAATACTGATCGGTTTCAATCCATTCGTCCTCCTTGTAATTTTCGAAGATGCTATCAAATATGACCTGGAAAAATTAAACGGAGTCTGTATCCATTATCTATCTTTACAACTTATATTATGCTTATTAAGTATTAATATTGCAGAGCACTTTAATGTCATCAAAATGGTCATGAATTCTTTGAAGCAATCTTTCGTAATTGTGCCATAATTGTGCCATAATGATTGGCCTGTTGGCCATCGAGCCTAGAATCCATATTATCTTAAACATGATTTCAGTATTATGACATTCAGAAAATGCTTGATCGAATATATTTGCTAGCTGTCTGTCAAACTCTTCCACCTACGGTAAAAGAATCAATAATTTTTTACATTACCGTGGTAATTTTATTATACTTTATTAATTTTATTATACTTTGTTAGAAATAATGTATATATCTATAATGTATATATCTATTATAATGCACGATTATTGTGCTTACTTTTGCTAAAAAAGAAATAACATGATCTGTGAATTGTATTTCTTCTGGCATCAAAATATCATATTCTAATTCGGCAAATTCATTGTAGAGTTTAATAAATTTTTCATGAATGTCATATATTTTAGAACATAACGTTTTCTTTCTTAAACTCGCTAATTCCATCTTTTCTAGTTTAAAATATTCTTGAGCTGTTTTAAATAACATCTGGCAAATAATACATAATAAATGATTATTTATAGAATTATTTAAATGATTTTATGTTAGAAATAATAATCATATTGTTAATTAATGCGCGAATCCAATTATGGAAAGCTTAATACTTATTTTAAAAATAAATTACGGACTTTGATTTCTTCCAAACGTTTTTGAAAATTTATTATTCTTCCAAGCACCAATTCATCATCAAAATTCCATGGAATTAATTCGGTCGAATATTTAAAGTAATTATCCAATTTACTTCGAAATATTTCATACATTTCTGTATAATAAGTTAAAATGTTTATCACATGCATTAAACGTTTTAGACTATCGTCAATATCGCCAGTGAATAAAGTACTCTGATCCAAGTATTTGGTAGCCTGCGAAGTTTTTAGTTAGTGACATAACAGACATTTTTGCGTTTTGTTAGAAGAGAAATAGATATGTTTTCTCATTAATACTCAACATCGTATTTAAAAGCGCAGAACATTTGGACATTAATGACTTAAAAAATATTAAGGAGACTTAATTTAAAATTTTAAAAAAATCACATTACAACAGAAAATTTCATCTTCTTTGTTTCAAAATGAAGATGATTAAGATATTTATTAACTCATATTTTCTTGAAAAATATAAATTATTTTTTATTTGTCATGCAGAGAACATTTTGACTTCTCGAGTATTTCGATATATAAATACTTATTTTTTTCTTACATACCTCGGTAATTAGCAGATTAGATATTTCGGATAATAGCGTAACTATTCGCGTTGGAATACAATAATATTTTGAATGTGACCATATCAGGCATATACAATGCAGCAGTGGTTTCAATTTCTGCTGTACATCTTTAAATTCGGTATTTTGTATATCTTCGAAGTGAGGTTCCAATGCTTTTAAGTAGGCGCATACATCGCGTGCTTCGATTACCGCTTAAGATAAAAATTCTTATGAATATTATACAATTTTGATGTTGAGCTTATTTGAAAATTAATGAATAAAATCTTATTCGGAATAACTCATTAGAATGAGTTATTACAGTTAAAAGAAAACAGAATGCCTAATCGATATAATTAATTAATACTCTTTGTAGTATATCTTTCTATTAACGCTAGCAAGATCTAACCACCGATAACGTCCTTCAACAGAGCCTTGAAACGCGGCGAATAGGGGCTCTTAGTTAATTCTAGAATAGATGCCATCTTTTTCACTCGTAGATCCTTCATTTGACTATGAATAGATTCGACGTTTACAAGTCGTTGACACCAGAAATCGATTTCTACAAGTGTATTATTGATGATTAACATTCTTTAATTCTTAATTCAATTTCTTTCAATTAAATTTGATTGGTAATTATTGATTCAGGAAAATAAAAAATATATTCTTACTATATATTCTTTTATGTGTCATGTGTATATAAAAATATATGTAAATTATATTATATTTTAATAATTAACATATGTGAAAAAAAATTTGTACAATGTTTAGAACAATGTTTAGTCAAAAAAATTTGTTTCTAATTTTGCTGTTTAAATACTGCAATACCCGCGCTTGGTAATAAATGTTTATCATTTCTTGGGCTTTCTTCGTTTAGCGTATCACCGATTTGCGAGCACCATTTGGTTACGATAATTTCTATATTGGCTTTTAAAGGAAGATCGACTTCGACACCTTCACTCTGCTGCGCTTTCCATTCCGCTTCAAATATCTGCTCGATACCCATTGGCATTGGTAATAAAGTTTGTCCTATCATCTTACCTTTGACCTGAAAGCATCTTTTGTCGATATTACGAATGACTAAACATATTTTTGCCTCATTTCGAAATTCAAATCACATCTCACAATATCATGAAATTTTTGAAAAATATTTTTTAGTGGAAAATTTATTAAGACAAAAGAAATGAAGAACATATTTATATTAAGATATTAATAAACCTGTTCCTATTTACCTGTTTAGCTATTTTATCTTGTGGGCTAAGAGTTAAAGCTACTCATACCTGGCATATCAAGTTGCGAAGATCGTAAACGTGTTTTTTCATGTCCTCACCGATAACACGAGGCCAACCTTTGTGATTCTTCGGATTCGACAATATCGGTACATAAGCCTAGGTAGAAACATTTACATAAAGCTCAGTTTTTTTTTTGTAATAGGCGCGAATAATACTTAATTTGAGTGTGCAATCGTCACACCTACCTCTTCAACCAAGACGGATAGTTCTTCGATAGGTTTCGAAGCCATGTCTCCGGGTATAATGATGCTCCTGTAATTTTCTTTTGTGATCTCAACAGGATTCTTTTTTATAAAATACGTTGTCTTTATCTGACCTGTCGCTGGTATCTCGAGAAACGGCACTAACATACCGACTAAGTTTACTTGTATTATTAAAATCATTTCCGATGGTGTATCGAAGAATTTCATAATCGTCTCCTGATATTTTCGTAATATAAATAAGATATCTATTGAATAATTTATTTGTCTAAAAAAAATTTTATTTGGGATTGTTTTCACGCGGAAATAAAAAAATCCTTCAATTTTTTCGAATTTGAATGAAAAAGATCTTTAGACATTTTTCATATAATTTAAATATTGCATTTCTTTCATATGTATGATTAATAAAATAAATTATGTATATATATATATATATATATATGTGTGTGTGTAAGAAAGAGACAGATAATAAGAAAAACGATATATTTAAAATAAACACAGCATAAGACAACAGTGTGTTACATAAAAATTTAATTTAGTTCTCGTCGAATAAGGTTAAGATTTAGAAGAAAATATTACACCTTGTATTCCTCGTTTGTTATCATCTTTATCCATTTGTCGAGTTTAATTTTTCTTGAAAGCACCAAATATTTATAAAGGAACTCAATACGCTCATCGTCTTCTTTCTTCTCTTCATCTTTTTTGTCAGCCATTTTTCCATTTACAAGAAAAGTTTGTTATCCTCAACGCTTTTCAACTGAACAGTTTGAACATTGCCAATTTGTTTTTACAGAGAAGTTACTTTCTAAAATAAAAGGGAAAGGAAAACAAGCTGAATATTCATGTTTATTGAAGCACGTATACATTCAGAATGATATATATTATTCAAAAGCATGAATTATATGTATAAAAGTATAAAATTTACAAAAGCACATTGTAAGATAGGAATTGAAAGAGTAAATGCTGCATAGACTGAGTACGCGAATAGCTCAGGGTGCGATCTACAAATGGTGCTACAAATGCTTTGAAGTATTTAATTGACCAATCGGAAGAAAGAATTTTTATTAATTCACCAATAAAGAAAATGCTTCGAAACATTCGTAGCATCAAGCGGACCGTAGCCTCAGACTAGATTATCGTAATGACTATACATAGTAACACCACAAGTCGCTTTAAAGTATTTAAATTGCGTCACGTTGTGCTGAGTAGTTGAGTCATTGAACACAGAGTCGAAACGAAAAGCGATCCATCTACCGTTTGTTGATCATTTCTGGCCAGACTTGATTTTCAATCCATTCCAAGAAGGAATATACCGCTGTGTAAACTCCCGGTATAGATCCTCCGCAACTTTGCCCAAAAGCCGTGATTCCCACAATGCTGTGACTAGATCCAATGAACATCAATAAAGGGCCGCCACTATCTCCGTGACAAGCGTCCGACCTTCTTGTAACGTTAGTATCCAATACGCACAGCATATTATCGTCCAAACCACGGGGTAATTTGCCGAAATCGTTAAACTTTTTGGCGCATGATTCTTTGTCTACGAGACTAGAAATTGGAGTATAATTTAAATCTATATATAATTTTAATCTCTGTGTGTGTGTGTGTGTGTGTGTGTGTGTGTGTGTGTGTGTGTGTGTGTGTGTGTGTGTGTGTGTGTACATAGAATAATACATCATTGTCTCATTATTTAAAGATGAGTTTAAAAAAAAAAACCCTTTAGTATTTATATGGTACATATTATACTGAGTAAAGAAGCTTAAGTAAACATAGGAAAGCTCAATCGTTTTTCAGGTACAAACAATTTTGTAGAAACAGTTAAATTTCTGACTTGTGTCCAATAAACTATTTTACTCAGTATAGTATGTATAATATTGCGCTTGTCTTAGTACATTACTGTGTCTCCAGATAAATGCTGAATAGTTTTTTAATCCAGTATAACAAATATGCAAGAATATATTTTGTCACCCATTAAATTATGTTAACTAACTTTGGCTGTGTTATACAGATTTTTCTAATCGATAAATTATAATTTTAACGAAAGATGATTTCATGTTTTATGTAATAATGCTACTTGTCAGATAACATCATAAAGATTAACTTAAGAGTTAAATAAGAAATTTGATATTTAATAAAAAAAAGTTTCAGTAAACATACGTTTGAAAATATTCTCTAGAGAGTTATTACTAATAAATGTTACGTATTATGCTTGTATTCTCACCTGAGACCTGGTGTCTTCATTAATTTGGTACTGCCATCCTCGTCGAAGCTGGTAGCACCCCAACCAATCACAATAAATGTTACGTTCGATTGTACATTCATGGAATCTAAAGATTTCGTTTGGATACAGATCGGCCGTACGTTATTCTCCATACGTACAGGCGTACTTAATTTTAGAATAGCCACATCGTTGTAATTCACGCTACGCTTGTATTGCGGATGCGGTATTACGTTGCTTATGGGAATTCGTTGCGCATCCCCAACGCTCTTTAGATCTTCGCTGCCGACTCTCACCTGTAGAAGCAAAGAAGGTTTATAATCCTTAAACGAATCGGTAAAATCTGATTTGATTTGAAGAAAATGTCATTGTTTATTTTGTTAATAAAATCGATCGAAGGAAAATGGAATGTTAAATGAAAAATTTGTTTCTTTATTTGTAGAACATCTAGTATCTGTAATATTTATGCGATAGTTTGTTACTATTTATCAAGATTGAGTAAGTTAATGTTTTTTTTAACTGAATAAAGTTAAAGTTAATGGCTTTACAAAATTAATAAAGTTAAATTAAAAGTTGAAGGAATAAAAAATTAACTTAACGTAAGTTAAGTCAATATTGAATCAACTTAAGTAAAAAATGTGGTTAATTTCAAAAAAAATTATTTTTTAGATCAAAATGTCCTAATTTTTCTTAAAATGAGATTCAATAACTACAATATAGATTATTAAGTAAATTAAATTTTTAATTTTTGTATTCATATGCGATATAAGTATATAAAACACGTAACGATATAACTATATAAGTTATATAACTTTAAAAAAAATAGCCAGCACAGAGAAGCAGCAGAGAAGATACAAGATCAATTACTTTTTTATAAGTTTTAAGCCATTATTTTTTAATAAGTTTTAAGCCATAAGAAATTGACCAAACTACAATCGAATGCGAGAAGAATATTTGATTGTAATTAATCAATTTCTTATGACTTAAGGCTTAAGGCTTAAAACACCTATTGTTGATCCGGACTAAGGCTTATGGCATAAAGCATAACCGCATAAATCAGAGAGCTGTAGCAGTATCTTAAGAAATTACTTAAAATGGTCTTAAATATGAACAGATTACAAATATACGCCCTTAATCTTATTATATCTTATTATTTTTCTAAGATATTTAAAAGATAAAAATTTTATTTTTATTTTTTAATTTTTTAACTTAAAAAAAAAATCAACGTTTAAAAGTAACTTAGTTAAGTTAAAATTTAATGCATTTAAAATTAACTAAGTTAAATTAAAAGTTATTAACTTTTTAACTTTTTTTTAACTTTTAACGTTTTAATTAGTTACTATCCAACTCTGCTATTTACTTATACACTTTTAGACGAAAATTGAAACATCTGTTCGCACGATTAAAATATTTTATGCGAATCTAGTCTTTCCCTCTTCTAGGTTTTTCTTTTTTTTTCATATAAGATATAAAAGATCACTTTTGCCCGAATCGATCCGACGCAAATATTTGGATGGTCAGTGAATCACGACAACCTTGAACTTGAAGCTCGCTTACTTACCTCTACCGGTACTTTCTCCTGTATATTACTGACGCAGTGAGCAGCGGTCAGTACGTATTGCGAGGAAATTAACGTGCCACCACAGTTGTATTTGATAGCTTCCGAATTGTCATCGTCCTTGTCTTCATTCTCGTATCCCAAGGCGACCATGTACGGGAATTCCCCGCGCTCGGTTTGAGAACCGCCGAATATGTTGAACTGCACCTCAGCCGTGTCTCTCTTCTCTTTACTGTTAGTCTCGATCTCGTTCTCATATTCACGACATGCTAAAAATCCAGATGCGACGACGCGCGTTAAAAATCTTTTGGATTCTAAAGAACATAATCGACTGGTTAACGTGTAAACCGACTAGTCCTGATTTATGGATCCGCGTCGTAATCGTCACTGTAAAGTCAAGATTATTACGTCATCGTGCGCGTCTCCATCTCAAGGTCATTTGTTATTTAAACGTTTCCGAGATTCTCGGAAATAATGCAATTTGCACACATGCATGTGTTAACAACGTAAGTATATTAAAACAATGATGAAAGACGATAAACCTCAATAATTTCGTCGTGCTGACATTTGAATGGATGCAAATGTTTTGACATGAAACACATCTTAAAATTATAATACGTTATTGCTACGTAAGTATAAGTTACAAAATACATTAAGCATAGATATGTCGCGTTTTTTGAAAGAAATAGGAAGGAAGAAAATAAGAGACTGTTGTCAAAAAATTATTGCTGCCTGAAAAACCTGTTTCTGAAAAAAAAAGAATGTTTAATCAACAGCGTCGTATCTTTCAGATGCGGAATGTAATCATTCGTCAATCGATTTTCTCATCTTTGCTTAATTTTTTCGAACTAAAAAGATATCTCACGATTGAATAACACAGTAATTTGTAAATCCAGATAATAGATTTTACTTTGTGGGAACCTATCCTAAATGTAGAAATTGAGCGCGATACACGTTACGAAAAAATAAGAAATGAATTAATTTTGATGAAATTAAAAAAAAATAATTATAACGCGTAATTTTTTTCAATCAACACGAAGTTTACTCTAAAAAATTATCGCATTCTTCAACTTTTGGATTAATATGAAACGCATATTTTAAAGAAACAAATAACAACATTTCGTGATATTATACCTATCTCTGCTGGTCGAAGTCCTATCTTATCTGTAATATTGAATTGACAACAAACGATTTCGATGAAATCCTCGAAACCGCAACGACCTTTCGAATCCGAGTTTCTTCTACCCTCCTTCACCTCTTGCAATCTGGATGGACATTCGTATATCTTTCTGCATACTCCCTTTTCGCCATTTTCTGTTCTGCAGTAACTGCCTTCTGTATCAAATAAAACGAGATTATTTCCATTTCAGATTATATTTTGTTGATGTTATTTCGAAAGAATCGCAGGGGAAGCCCATAAAGGAAAAGACCAACTCGTTAAAATTAATCTTATGCACGCCCGCATTTTTACTCGAGACTGCATTTACATGAGACTGACAATCATTTTTTTCTCATGAGATTACACTTACATACTATTTTTTAATGATAGTATTTATTTGCGCAACACAATGTGCATACAATCATACATCTTCAACAACTAGAAGGTTAAAAGAAAATATT